CTCCAGAAAATCTAGGTTTCACAAGAATTTTAAATTCTGTTCTGCATTTTCCACCTTTCGATCAGGATTCTTCCATAGAATCTTTGATCAAAATGTTCAGGAATGGTAGCCAGGCACCATCCAGTTCTTCTGATCTCATGGCAAAGGAGGCAATTGTTCATGGAAGCAATTAGTCACACACTCCATTTCCTCCTCCTAGTCTTGACTCTCTTTCTTCCTCTGTTGATTTAGGCAAATAGAGACCAATTGTTGTGCCTTGGATAGCTGCTTGCAAGCTTTTAAGATCCCAGGCACTACTTAAAAAACCAGGAGGTAGAACAGAAAAACTAAATACGTTACTAGGCCAATTAACTGGAAAACAGAAGTTTTGAAAGTGGCAATTTTAAAGAAACAAAACCTATGTAAAATGAATTTCAGTCCTTCACTACCTGATTTACAGGTCTGACGGAAAAAATCCCTGCTGTTAATTAATTCACAATTCTGTAAAATACGTTTTCATGCAAGTGTATCTATAACAAATATTATGTAGTCTCTTTTTCTGTCTTTCCTTCTTTACTGAAAAGGTAGAACAACTCTTAAATAACTCAGACTTCTCTGGATAATCTCTTTACTATCATTCAGATCCAGCTGCTTCACAAGACACTCTAACCCTTCTTTGGAAACTGTATATAGTCAGTGGTCTAAAACCACTGATGATTTGAGGGTGCCTGCAGTGAACAACTAATATGAATAAGTATTTAACCACATAAGAATCCTTTAAACCATGACAATAGGAGAAAGTGACATTATAATAGACAGTTTTTTTCCTCTGAAACTAGAGTACTTTTTTTATTAACAAACTCACCTCTTTGCAGACATACACAAAATTAATTGCAAAATAGTCGTAGCAAAGCATTCATTACCCCATCAGAACAAATCACCTCGTTTGCAAAATAACTTAACCTTAGTGTCAAGTGCGCCGTGTGCTAAATGAAAGACTTGCTAGTTTACAAACGTTTATACAACAGAAGACTTATAAGGAAATCTTATCAGCAAAATTGGTGACAGCTACTCAAGAGATCCGTTAACAATTATCATTAGTGATTTAAAATGACAACTTACAACAAAATTTACTCAATGTTCACCTGTGTTAGCTCTTTAGAATGAGAATTTAACCCTAGAGTAAATACAGTGTCTTCTGAATGCAGTGAACAAGCGACAAAGCCAGAGCCCACGATCAGAGATTTCCAGACGTGGAAGAAGGAATCTACGGTACTGCATTGGTTCTCTTCTCAGTGCTCAAAATATCAAATGCTGTTTTTCATCTATGCTGGACTTCTTTGAAGAGCACTGTACTGTTTCACATCCTCCTTTCACTGTAACAAAATGTATTAAACAAAACCTTTAGATTATGTTTAAAAGCAGCTGAAAAACCTCTGGCTGCTCTGGGTGCTAATTATCAGAAAACTCAGTTACCTGGGAGCTTTGGGCTCTCAAATATCAGAAACCTCAATAACTTATCATAAAAATACAAGCTCTTGGTTTTGAAAAATACACAAAACGCATTGCACATGTAGATATTTGTCGATTGTCAAGGAAGATCAGATCTCAGTCTCAGTCACAGATCCATAGATGCGGCGCTTATATTTCAGTGATCTTTGTTTTTGTAGATTCCATTTTCCACAGTTTTGGGCAGCCTTTGACCTTTGGTGTAAGCACGGTACCAGAAATGGAGAAAGAGCAGCAAAAAGATGCACCCATAGCTCATAATGATATACAGAAAGACTGGAAACTGGTACTTGCAATCTTCCATGAAAAAGAACTGGCCTATGTGGATGGTGACAATAACAAACTGGACCTAAAAGATGAAAGAGAGAAAAAAAAATTGTCCAGCCATATACGAAAATCACAATGTAACAACTGCTTAACGCACTCCTTGCTCGTTTATAATTAAGCATTTTCCAACCATATCTAGGCTACTTCTGTGTAGGTAATTTTGTCTTTAAATCTAGCCTCCCTGGGAGTGATAGTGAATGGTACAGGGTTAAAATCCAGATGGGAGTTTGGAAACACTACTCAGTCCTGCCAAAGTGTACAACTCCAGGGAACTCTATTTAATGTTCCCTGGAGCTGTGCAGACAGGCCCTTTCACTAGTCAGAGATCCAACAGAGCAGGTTTCCTTCAGAAGTCTCTGATCTGAGTCCTTGACTCTGATGAAATGTACATCAGACCACTACCTTATGGCCTAATTTTTCAGGATGGTTTTGACTTCAAATACTCTGTTCTGCTGTATTTCAATTTTTGGAAAATAACAACACTTTAATTAGAGCCGCTCTAGCCAAAGCATCTCTGAGTCCTTGTATCTGCCACTTGTCTTCCACTGTCATAGATAAAAACATGCCCTATCTGCCAACTGCAGCAGAGAATCTGAAAGGAGTGAAAGGGGGATGTTCCAGGGCTCTATGTTCCAGGGCATTCTACAGCCCGAAGAGGGACACTTTCTAGACTAATGTTCAGGGTTTTGTGGACATCTTTTTTCTCCTGATTAAAAGATAACGTGTTCTGTGGAAATTTTGGAAAACTAGAAATCTGTAAGGAGATAAATAACAATTACCCGTAATCCACTCAGTGATAACCACAGTTAAGATTTTCACCTAGTTGTTTTAATTACCATTTTATCATTGTTATCAACTTTCTTTGCATTATCTCAATGCATTTTTATGACAATCCTGTGCATTAGCTAGTAGTCCCTGGGTGGTACAAA